GTCTAAAGCGTCAAAACAATTTCCATAACATTAATAAAGCTCAATTGTACGATTCAGACTTTATCACGAGCGTGTGTTCATGCTGTCTAACATATGGAGATGACATCAGGTGTTTCCTCACTCGGCCCAAACACATGGACAGGCAAGTCATATGTGCCCCTGAATCGACGCAGTAACAGTAAATGGTGCTATTAGAAACAGCAATCAAATTTCAAAACAACACAAACCCTTCTTCTCGTTCACCCGGAGCAGTCCAGACAAATGAGCCCCTATGAATGCATCATGGGAAAGGGTGTCTTCTGAAAAAGAAGACAAGAATGATTAAGAACTACCTGACAGTAGATATATGTTCAACTAACCTTTTTGTCGGTTGACTCCCATCAGTAGATCCAAGAGCATATAATGTGAGTGAGTGAGCTTTGGTTTTACGCCTCTTTTAACATTATTCCAGCAATATCACAGCGGGGAACGATAGAACACTTTAACCACTCGGCTAACCCCGGCCCTTCATCATAATGTATTAAGCCTACCTATTGTACACGCCTCTGTCTGTTTCTGCACGCATGCCAGTCCTCCTTTCTCGGCCTTTGAAAAGAGAAACACAGTCATTATACAAGTGTTGATCCATCAGAAGACCCCCATGTGTGTATTTGCCATTTGAACAAACTGCTCAATATAAAATATTGACCTACCGGTACATAAAATATAGAACTACGAGCTGTAGTGTTCAACAATTGAACCCAAATCTATCTCTGCTTGGTGCTGTACATACTATAGCAAAGTGCCATGGGTCGTGATCTGCTGGCACAGCGCCATCAGCATGCACTAGTGCGTGGATGTTTGCGCTATATTAATATCCAACAAACAAACAAAGAAATTCACTTTATAGACACTTGCTCCAAATAATAGTATTTATATTTAGGATCGTGCAACAATGCATTTACATAACGAGTTGGAAATTGGACTGGTATACATTTTTGCCTCTTCTTTACGCTATGCAATGGAAGCTAAAAGACATCACCGTGTCAATGATTTCAACGTAATAAGCATTTTGGACGTTGAAAAATTTAAGTGCACATAAATTTGAGAGCACGTGTTGCAGGGAGCAGTTTTCATCGATTCATGTACATTGTGGTAAGGCTGTTAGCGCAGTATGTCCCGGATGAGCCCACAAGGAACGTAATACCCTCGTCAATATACCTATTGATATGCGTGTTTGTCAATGTTTTGACAACAGCTTCCAGGTAACCTTTCATGATCCTCTTTGTGATAGGGCTATTGATTATTGCACAGTACTTGGATAAGCGCCAACTTGCAGCGGTATTCTTTCAAAGGTAAATTGACGTTATGTATGTATGTATGTATGTATGTATGTATGTATGTATGTATGTATGTATGTATGTATGTATGTATGTATGTATGTATGTATGTATGTATGTATGTATGTATGTATGTATGTATGTATGTATGTATGTATGTATGAATGTATGTATGTATGTATGTATGTATGTATGTATGTATGTATGTTCGGAAAAAAAGTCCTCGGAATGAAGGTACCGGTAAAAAAGTACTAAATTTGCCTAGGAATAAAAGTCCTACTTTTATTTTTTTATAACAAATGTTCAGAAAAAAACTTAGTTTTAATTTTTTTACTTTATTCACATAGGCACTTTCACATACAACAATGTAAATTGATAAAAATTTGCATCTGCAATGATACATTTGCAGGACTTTTAACATTTTTAATACTTTTTTTCACATAGGCACTTCATATTGCACTGAAACATGACAATTTGCAAAAATTTGCTAAAATCACATTTTATTTGACAAACAGAACTCAAACAGTACTCCACAAGAAAGTTTATGAAAACAATCTTGTTGTGAACACTAATTATTCTTTGATTCAAGCAGCTAAAATCCAAAATTTTGACAAACAGAACTCAAGCTAAATCCTCGATTTGAATGCCCAGTTAAAATAGCATTGTTCTTGGTTATTTAATTCTTGTCTTTAATACACAATCACTTTTGTCAACAATAACTTTGATGTCAACATCCACTTAATCTGTTTTCACAATAATAGGACTTTTTTTTCGGAGGACTTTTTTTCCGGTACTTTATTACCGAGGACTTTTTTTCCTATGTATGTATGTATGTATGTATGTATGTATGTATGTATGTATGTATGTATGTATGTATGTATGTATGTATGTATGTATGTATGTATGTATGTATGTATGTATGTATGTATGTATGTATGTATGTATGTATGTATGTATGTATGTATGTATGTATGTATGTATGTATGTATGTATGTATGTATGTATGTATGTATGTATGTATGTATGTATGTATGTAAATATGTATGTGTGACCTTGTATGTGTGTGTGCGTGTGCGTATGCGTGTGTCTGTCTGAATGTATTTTTGGTGTTTGTGTCAATACGTTATTTGGCTTGTGTTAATATTTGTTACAGTGGGATGATATATCTCCATCCCACGAATGTGTGCACGAACTTTGTCGTATATGTTGACATATAACAAGAAACATCTATCTTAAATCTAATAAATGGCAAAATATAATTCTTAAACATCTTCACGAGATTTCAACATTGTAAATTACAAGAAAGTGTTTACTGTCAGTCGAATGAATACAAAATTGACAGTTATTTGAACCAAATTGAATACCTGTATTTATGTAAAAGTGTTCCATCCGCCACCAGGTGGTTTCGCATCAATGTTAGACTCGCTGTGCCAACTTCCGGTTTGGTCGTAAGCTTTATCGATAGTGTAAACGCACTCTAACTCTGGACTGTATAGGACCGCATCCATTACTTCACTGTATAGCATCCATTACTTCACTGTAGATGCTATATATACATAAAAAAGCACAGGTACATAGTACATAGATAATAATGACAGATTCAACTACATAGGGTAGCCATAGGGCCTAAGTCAGTATTACATTATCCATTATTTATTTGTAGACGCTATATACACATGAGTAGGCATAAGTACATAGAGAATAAGGACAGGTTTAACTACATCGGGTAGCCATAGGGCTTAAGTCAGTATGACATTATCCATTTTTTCTCTGTAGATGCTACATATACATAAGTAGGCATAAGTACATAATACATAGCTGATGATTAGAAGTTGGACTATATCTGGTAGGCATAGGGTCTAAGTGCATATTACATTATCCATTATTCCCCATCATTTCTGCAGATGCTACAGATACATAGGTAAACATGTATATAATATGTTTGATCTTCAGGATGATCGTCTGGAGGAAATAAAGACTCTCTCTCTCTCATGGTGTTGTTTCGTGTTGTATGTGCCATAGGGCTTGTGCAGGTTGGACTGCATCTGGTAACATGCTTAGCTACAGGTTTACTTTCACCATTGCATATGCTACCTATGTATCGTGTATTGAACATAGTTTGGATATAACTTGTAGTAGTATCAGTTGGTGCTATTATGAAGTTCATAGTTCATAGTTCATAGCAGTTGTGAAAAGAAAGGGTATAAAATTCAACTATAGACAATCATTCAAACATCTACTTTCATTGATAGCTGATGTACCTTACACTAAAGTGGACCTAAACAATGAAATAAACTTCACAAAAGAAAAGAGCATTAATATTACTTTAATTACAACTGCTTCAATAGCTCATGTAGCCTGACATTGGATGATTCATAAGTAAGTGAAAATAACTGATCCATACATATGAAATTCAGACAAGAAATAGGTATGAGTGATTGTTTGTGCTGAAATATACAAATGACAGTATTTCAACATGTTAAGTAAATCAGCTCAATTATAAAACATGATCACTATGTACAGACTGAAACTCTACCACATAAGCATGCAGTGTGACCTTCAGTGGTGGTTAGATTGACACTTACTGGATTAATATGCAGAGCTATGCAATGAGAATAAAGTGAAAAACATAACTAAGATTGTATTGTTTCATAGGGTAAGTAAACCAATGCCATGTATCTCAATATTTCATATAATCTTCCTAGTAAGTGTATGAAACCCACACAAATGCCTTGCGTAACTTCCTTTGAAAGGACAGGATTCTGTGTTGTGTGAGGGTATGTTTCATAAGTAATTGACAGGAAATGTTACAGGGACAACTTTTAGCTTATTTCAAAACATATATCAAACTGTCTAATGATGTGTATGTTTACAAGGTGGCATTTCAGCTTTCTTTCACTGCAATTCTGGTGTGAAAGTGTGTACAATTGCATTTTGTAAGTTTAGATGGAGTCATACATGAAGAAGGTAGAAAGCATAATATATGAGCAATAAATAGGTTGTATGTTGTAGGTAATATATAACCACAAGAAAACGTGTTTCACTTCATGTTTGAATGTTCATTTTAAGATAGTTAAAGATCTGACATATTACCTATATAAACTTTTGAATATGACAACTCATGTACACTTCTATTCATTGTACTGAGCCTGTCCTCAATGTTTGTTTACATATGTGTCATGATGTACAAGTATGATGGGCCAGTAAACTGAACTAATTGGCACTTTGTCCCTGTTTCTTAGGCGTCATATATACTAAAATCATCTTCTATATACCAAAAAGCCATTAAATAAACTCATGTATTAAATATTACATTAAAACAATGCCTAAAATAGGACCAAATTGTAAGTGAAAAGCTCCTCATAGCTTCGGGCAGCCATTTGCAATTGACAAAGGGAGGTAATTCCTCCAATTTCCTCTGCACTTTGTACAGAAATAAAGGCACAAAAAGAAAGTTGTCTGCCCCTGATCGTGAACATGTTCATGTCGCATATCAGCTCTTACCCTAACCCTAACCCCAGGGTTAGACCAAACACTAACCCCAGTCTTATACCCAACACTAAACCCAGGGTTAGACCAAACACTAACCCCAGTCTTATACCTGACACTAACCCCTAACCCTAACCCCTGACACTAACCCTAACCCTTAACCCTAACCCTAGACCAAACACTAACCCTAGGGTTAGACCAAACACTAACCCCAGTCTTATACCTGACACTAACCTAACTAACCCTAACCCCTGCCACTAACCTTAACCCTAACCCTGACCCTAACCCTTAACCCTAACCCTAGACCAAACACTAACCCCAGGGTTAGATAAAACACTAACCCCAGGGTTAGACAAAACACTAACCTCAGGGTTAGACAAAACACTAACCCCAGGGTTATATCAAACACTAACCCCAGGGTTAGTCCAAACACCTACCCAACACTAACCCCAGTCTTATACCCAACACTAACCCCACGGTTAGACCAAACACTAACCCCAGGGTTATATCCAACACTAACCCCAGGGTTAGACCAAACACTAACCCCAGTCTTATAACCAACACTAACCCCAGAGTTAGACCAAACACTAACCCCAGTCTTATACCCTAACCCTAACGCAAGGGTTAGACCAAACACTAACCCCAGTCTTATACCCAACACTAACCCCAGGGTTAGACCAAGCCCTAACCCCAGTCTTATACCTGACACTAACTAGTAACCCTAACCCTAACCCCTGACCCTAACCCTTAAACCTAACCCTACACCAAACACTAACCCCAGGGTTAGATGAAACAATAACCCAACACTAACCCCAGGGTTAGACAAAACACAACCACAGGGTTATATCCAACACTAACCCCAGGGTTAGACCAAACACTAACCCCAGTCTTATACCCAACACTAACCCCAGGGTTAGACCAAACACTAACCCCACTGTATGTTTTCAGCATTACATCGAAACATGCACCGTTTGGAGATGTTCATGAGCTTTTTGACTTATTATTCTTGTGTTTTGTGAGGCAGGTAACTAATTGCTTGTTGACATGTAAACACCTGTTTCAGTGGGAGACATGACAGCGAGAGAGCTACATAAAGAGAGGTTTACTGATCCAAATGAAATGGAAGGGGAAAAGTTTCAGTGTCGCCTGGAAACAGGGACTGTATTGAGATGTTACAAATCAGCTCAATTATAAAACATGATCACTATGTACAGACTGAAACTCTACCACATAAGCATGCAGTGTGACCTTCAGTGGTGGTTAGATTGACACTTACTGGATTAATATGCAGAGCTATGCAATGAGAATAAAGTGAAAAACATAACTAAGATTGTATTGTTTCACAGGGTAAGTAAACCAATGCCATGTATCTCAATATTTCATATAATCTTCCTAGTAAGTGTATGAAACCCACACAAATGCCTTGCATAACTTCCTTTGAAAGGACAGGATTCTGTGTTGTGTGAGGGTATGTTTCACAAGTAATGGACAGGAAATGTTACAGGGACAACTTTTAGCTTATTTCAAAACATATATCAAACTGTCTAATGATGTGTATGTTTACAAGGTGGCATTTCAGCTTTCTTTCACTGCAATTCTGGTGTGAAAGTGTGTACAATTGCATTTTGTAAGTTTAGATGGAGTCATACATGAAGAAGGTAGAAAGCATAATATATGAGCAATAAATAGGTTGTATGTTGTAGGTAATATATAACCACAAGAAAACGTGTTTCACTTCATGTTTGAATGTTCATTTTAAGATAGTTTAAGATCTGACATATTACCTATATAAACTCTTGAATATGACAACTCATGTATACTTCTATTCATTGTACTGAGCCTGTCCTCAATGTTTGTTTACATATGTGTCATGATGTACAAGTATGATGGGCCAGTAAACTGAACTAATTGGCACTTTGTCCCTGTTTCTTAGGCGTCATATATGCTAAAATCATCTTCTATATACCAAAAGCCATTAAATAAACTCATGTATTAAATATTACATTAAAACAATGCCTAAAATAGGACCAAATTGCAAGTGAAAAGCTGCTCATAGCTTCGGGCAGCCATTTGCAATTGACAAAGGGAGGTAATTCCTCCAATTTCCTCTGCACTTTGTACAGAAATAAAGGCACAAAAAGAAAGTTGTCTGCCCCTGATCGTGAACATGTTCATGTCGCATATCAGCTCTTACCCTAACCCTAACCCCAGGGTTAGACCAAACACTAACCCCAGTCTTATACCCAACACTAACCCCAGGGTTAGACCAAACACTAACTCCAGTCTTATACCTGACACTAACCCCTAACCCTAACCCCTGTTACACCTAACACTAACCCTGACCCTAACCCCTAACCTAGACCCTAACACTAACCCCAGGGTTAAGACAACACTAAAGGGTTAGACCCAACACTAACCCCAGTCTTAGACCAAACACTAACCCCCTAACCCTAAGTCCAGGGTATACCCCAAACACTAACACTAGGGTTAGACCCTGACTAACCTAAGGGTTAACCCTAACCCCAGGGTTATACCCAACACTAACCCCAGGGTTAGATCCAACACTAACCCCAGGGTTATACCTAAAACACTAACCCCAGGGTTAGACCAAACACTAACTAACCCAGTCTTATACCCAACACTAACCCCAGGGTTAGACCAAACACTAACCCCAGTCTACCCAACACTAACCCCAGGGTTATACCCAACACCCTAACCCAACACTAACCCCAGTCCTATACCTAAACACTAACCCCAGTCTTATACCCAACACTAACCCCAGGGTTAGATGAAACACTAACCCAACACTAACCCCCTTAACCCAGGGAGGTGTTTGAACAACCACTAACCCCAGGTTATATCCAAACACTAGCCCCAGGGGGAGCTTTTTCAAACACTAACCCCAGTCATAACAACCTAACCCTAACCCAGGTGTTAGAGCTATCATGTGTATTGGCCCCACTGTATGTTTTCAGCTTTTTCAGTTTCTATGAGGGACATAACTGACGCTTGGAATGTGCATGGGTGGAGTTTAACGAGCCTAACGAAATGGTAGGTGTATGTTTTCAGCATTACATCGAAACATGCACCGTTTGGAGATGTTCATGAGCTTTTTTACTTATTATTCTTGTGTTTTGTGAGGCAGGTAACTAATTGCTTGTTGACATGTAAACACCTGTTTCAGTGGGAGACATGACAGCGAGAGAGCTACAGAAAGAGAGGTTTACTGATCCAAACGAAATGGAAGGGGAAAAGTTTCAGTGTCGCCTGGAAACAGGGACTGTATTGAGATGTTGCCTTTGCTTTGTGAACCATATCTTCGAGAGAATCGCTGCTGCAGCATCCCGTCACGACCATAACAACAAGCCATCCACCATCACCTACAAAGTGCCGTGCTGTGAACAAGTACACCAGCTCCAAGAAGAAAGTTCACCAGAGCTTCTACTTACATACAACGGTCCTTTTCAGGACCACCAAAATAGAACAAAAGAATACTTGAAACGTTGATGAATGACTGACTGACTGACTGAAGGAATGAATGAATGAATGAATGAATGAATGAATGAATGAATGAATGAATGAATGAATGAATGACTGAATGAATGAATGAATGAATGAATGAATGAATGAATGACAGAATGAGTGGGTGTTAATAATAAATTCATTATAATAAGATCGGCAATGGACCTGAACACACAGTCGACCCACACCATGTACTGTTTCTGTGGGCACCCTTCACGTTCTGATAAGGCGGCACGAGTTGTTCCCCTTGGACCGTATCAGAAAACCTGGCATTCCGTGCTGGTCCCGTGCATCATTTGCTTTAAAAGAGCACAGAAGTAGTCTATCTTGATGCTCGACGGAGGTCATATAATTATGAACGTACGCTAACCATACTCGGCACATTACTGCAGATGCCATTAGACAATGTTATGCCAAAATATGAATCTGATACACATATAGGGTCAGACGATACAGAGTTTTCCTGGATACTACCGTCGCGCAGGAACTGTGCGTGATTTGCTTTTAAAACAGCACAGAAATAGTCAATTCCTTGTTCGACGGATGTGGTACAATGTTGGACACACACTGACCATACTTGGCACATGACTCCACCTGTCATCAGACAATATCATACTTAAATAGGAATCTCATACACTCATATGCTCAGACGATACAGAGTTTTTAGTGATACTACTGTTGTATGAACTGTGCATAATTTGCTGTCAAATCACACACACATGCACGAATTGTTCCCTTTGGACTGATAATGAGCTAAACTATATACCTGACATATCACAAAGCTGACTGAAAATACATAGCATGACCCATATTGTGGGGAAAGAGGCAATAGCAGTAATTATAGGTAGCTAGGGTTAAGAAACATGGCTTGTTGAAGAGCGACTTTAAACCCACACATGTACTCACCAACATCTATAATGCTGTATTCTGTGTGAAGAGAAATGCTGTAGTTGAGTGATCTCATATTGGGTATGAATGACTGTCTTATATAGGTAGATAGGTTTGTTTGTAGGTAGATAGGTTTGTTGTATGTGGGCATCTTTGTATCTATGCGATGCTATTCAAACTTCTGTGGAGTAAATGAGCCAGTAACAGACTTTCTATACTTTGTATAAGAATAAGAATAGGTGTATTTTATTCTATTACTTAGCCTGCCTTTTACTAACTATCATTCACCGCCAGTTCGCTGGGTAATGAGCTCACTCGAAACTCAATCGTCAGAGGATGAACAGCTCTCGCTCACTTTTTGCGACATAGCTTTCGACATACATTTGGAGCCTATTCTGAGGACGTTTTCAGCATTATAGTGGATATCTTATCCATGTATTGTCCATTTAATATCGTTTGGATAAAAGGGGTAGTTGTATCAGTGTGTTTTATTATCAAGTTTGATTTTGCTTATCTTATTGCGTTAAATACCCAAACACTGACTCAACATTCATTACACATATGATGTAATATCAGTAAGATGATTCAGAGCAGTAGCATTGCTATGGGAGATAAAAGACAAGGCCAGGCGTGTGATCATGGCATCAAGGAACGAACAGAAGTATGCATTTGTAATCATAAATGGGTGAATGGAAATAAGCCTGAGAGAAGGAATGAATGAGGTGTTCTTTAGCCTGGTTTTATAGCTATGCACATCTACAGTCATTTGTGTGGGTTTGAATAATGTATTTGTGCGAGACACTAACCCAACACTAACCCCAGGGTTAGACCAAACACTAACCCCAGGGTTATATCCACCACTAACCCCAGGGTTAGACCAAACACTAACCCCAGGGTTAGACCAAACACTAACCCAACACTAACCCCAGGGTTAGACCAAACACTAACCCCAGGGTTATATCCAACACTAACCCCAGGGTTAGACTAAACCTAACCCCAGTCTTATACCCAACACTAACCCAACACTAACCCCAGTCTTATACCCAACACTAACCCCAGGGTTAGACCAAAAACTAACCCAACACTAACCCCAGTCTTATACCAACACTAACAACACTAACCCCAGGGTTAGACCCAACATCCTAACCCCAGGGTTATAACCCCAGGGTTAGACCAAACACTAACCCAACACTAACCCCAGGGTTACACCAAACACTAACCCCAGGGTTATATCCAACATTAACCCCAGGGTTAGACCAAACACTAACCCAACACTAACCCCAGTCTTATACCCAACACTAAC